ACCATCGCCAAAATTATAAAATAAATTAATGCCACAATCTATGGACACACATAAAAAGTTTTTTCAAAATTTACGCGACTACTACTAGCATCAAGAAACTTAATCACATTAGCAAGGACCTGATTCCTGTAGAAACCATGAGTCCCACAAAAGGCATAATTAGCGAATGTTCAAAAAACAGCCAAAGGAATTCTATTTGTTCAGTCCTTTCGGTTGAACGGTATCCAAACATTTGATCCAAAAAGTCTCTCTCTGTAATAATAAATTTGATCTGTTGCCCCCTCTGGCCAATGGTGGAATGTGATCTATCACAATAAATTTCAAGGTGGGTAAATGATGTTGATGTTCAAGGAAGTGCTTTGCCACAGGCTTGTCGGTCTTTCCATCACGGTAGGCTGTCATGATTCCTGATCTATGGCCTCTGATGCGATCTCTCACTGTTAAATCTGTCTCTCCTACATAATATTTGCCGCAAGGGCATGAGATGAGATACACCACATGATCACTCAGACAGGTTAAACAATGTTTTATCTGAATTCTTTTACCTGTATGTGGGTGTGCGAAAGAGGATCCTGTCAACATGTGCCCACAAGTGACACAGCCTGGGCACTTGAAGCAACCTTTCTTTACATTTTGTGTCTGGAAATTGTAACAACTTGGTGTGTCAGTTTTTACCAAGATGTCCTTCAAATTTCTATTGCGTGAAAATGCAATCCGTGGTTTTTGCAAAAAAATCTGATTGAGTGTCTTATCTGAAGAAAGGATGTCCCATCTCTTTTTAATCCTTTGAGAAAACCTCTGGCTTTCTGAGTGATATAGTAGAGGGATCGTGATCTTTAGGTCACTTTTTGGCTGTTTAGTTGTTCTTTTAAAGATGTTTTCAGCCTTTTCCAGGCAATTCTGTAACACATTGTGTTTGTATCCCCGTTCCAAGAAGGATCTGGTCATATCTCGAAGTTGAGTCATACAATTATTGTCATCTGAATTATTTCTGAACACCCTAAGATATTGAGAGATAGGTAACAAATCTTTTAAAGCGTTAGGATGAGAACTGTTTGCATGTAAAAGTGTGTTGCGGTCCGATGGTTTTCTGTATAACCTATGTTCTGACCATTCCGATATAGTTCAACATCAAGAAACTGGATCTTGTCTGTACTGTATGTCAGACTAAGTTTGATGGTTGAATCCAGATTGTTTAGTTCATCAATCATGGTCTCCAGTTCTACTATTGTGCCTTTCCACAGTATAAAGATGTCATCCATAAACCTGTGGTATTGTATCAAATGATCCTTGTATTTAGGTAAAATGTGCATATTTTCATATGCATACATAAAGCTGTTAGCGTATGTTGGAGCTATTGCTGATCCCATCGCTGTCCCAGTCTCTTGAATATAAAAACTTTTTTCATAACGAAAATAATTATTGGACAGCGTGAGTTGTAAACCTTCCAACAAAAATTCAATGGGAGGTCCTGCTTAGACGTCTGACTGTAAAAGAAGCGTTCGCATTGCTTCTATGCCCGTTGTATGTGGGATCACAGTATACAGATTTTTGACATCTGCTGTTGCAAAAATATATTGAGTGTCCAAAAGCTTGCAGTTTATAATTTTGTTAAGAAAATCTTGGGTATCTCTTAAACATGTACGTAATCTGATGACTGTAGGTTTGCAGAAAAAAAAATCTACAAACTTTGCTGCTGGTTCCAACAATCCTCCTCGAGTGGATACAATCGGTCTCCCAGGTGGCTTCCTTGAATCCTTGTGTATCTTGGGTAGGGTATACAAGATCGGGATTTCGGGGTGTGTGTTGAGTAAAAATTCTGCCGAGCTGTGATCCAGCCACTTCGCTGCTAATCCTAGTTTGATCCACTCCTGTATTTTATTACTGATCTTAATTGTAGGATAAAATGTCAATTTTTTATATGTCTTAGTGTCAGACAATTGTGTCAAAATTTCTTTCCTATAGTCAGTGTAATCCTGCAAGACTATTGCTCCCCCTTTGTCCACCAATCGAATCACAAGTCGGTCATCTCCACTTAGATCTTTAAGGGCAGTTCTCTCAGCCCTGGTTAAATTGTCAGGTTTTTTTTGTTGTTGAGCAAGTATTGTATCCATATCTGTTTTCAGGATAGTGGAAAATGTTTTAATAGAGTGATGTATATTTTTTGGTTCCCATGTACATTTCAATTTAAATTGTGAAACCAGCCTTGATGTCGCTGTATTATGTAAAGCTTGCATGCTTAACGTTCTATTCATCTTGAAAAGTTCAATGTCAATTTTGAATTCATCTTGTTTAGAGGTAGGAACGAATGTAAGTCCTTTGGATAGAACTTGATTGTGGGCACTTGTCAAAATTTTAGATGATAAATTAAAAATAGGATTTATTTCTTCTTGGTTGGTGGTTTTGACCTTGTATTTATAAATCTTGTTCCTTTGTCCTCTTCTAATAGGTCTACGTCTTTTGAACCTCACCTTAGGCATGCAAATTTGCCAGGGGGATCGTTTGTATGTTGTTCCATCCCTAAAAAAAGTCGAGGATTGTGATTGAAGTGTGTCTCTTGTGGAAACTCCGTGGCTAGGTATGGCCCTGGTGTCTGTTTCAGATGTAGAATCTGCTGAACTCGTATCAATAGACAGGAATTGTGGTTTGCGTACTCGTTGTCTATTTCGTTGGAATGGTGGTCTCAGTCGTTCTCCACTGATCCAGTGGTACACCTGATGATGTGTGTAATCAAAATTAACTTTTTCCACCTTTTGTTATTTGAATCTTATAAGTTCGTTTCTATATCGCATAATTTCATCCTGTAATTTTACCATGTGTTGAATAGAGGTGGCTGCGTTTAAAGTAGCAACATGAGACATTTCAAACTTGTTAATGGAATCTTTGGTAAAAACCAATTCATTGTTCACCTCCTCCACTACTATTATCATCCAATCAAGCGAGCATTTGTTTGCTATACCTATATTATATTATATTATATTATAGCATATTATGTAGGAAAGACGGATTTAACAGTGAGAGATCGCGTCAGAGGCCATAGATCAGGAATCATGACAGCCTACCGTGATGGAAAGACCGACAAGCCTGTGGCAAAGCACTTCCTTGAACATCAACATCATTTACCCACCTTGAAATTTATTGTGATAGATGACATTCCACCATTGGCCAGAGGGGGCGACAGATCAAATTTATTATTACAGAGAGAGACTTTTTGGATCAAATGTTTGGATACAGTTCAACCGAAAGGACTGAACAAATAGAATTCCTTTGGCTGTTTTTTGAACATTCGCTAATTATGCCTTTTGTGGGACTCATGGTTTCTACAGGAATCAGGTCCTTGCTAATGTGATTAAGTTTCTTGATGCTAGTAGTAGTCGCGTAAATTTTGAAAAAAACTTTTTATGTGTGTCCATAGATTGTGGCATTAATTTCTTTTATAATTTTGGCGATGGTTTGTGGTTGTGGTAGCAGGCTTTCTTATTTTGGCATTTCACGTCACTTTGACACTTTGTCACGTTATTTTTACACTGTATTGCATTTCTGCATGCTGTTTGTTTGACCACAGTCACTTTTTTCTTTTTCCGCTCAACTAGTATCTTCAAACCATGTAGTTCACTCCAGACACAGTTTTATCCATTATTCATTCGTTTTTTTAGCTCATCACACACACCACATATTTGATTCTTTAACATATTTCCATTTTCACACACAACAATTTTTCAACCCATCTGCACACCTAGTCTCCTTAGACCATACATGTCACTCCAGATACAGTTTTCTCACTTTTGTCACAGTTTTCATTTCTTTCAGCTCACCACATACACCACATTCCACACACTACAGTTCTTTTTAATTTCTTAACATATTCATTTCACACCATACAGTCCTTTTTTTCTTTCAGCTCATCACTTCTTATTACTTAGTATATTCATATTCACAAATATGAGTCCGTACTGATTATTTTATCCGGTAAACTCTGATTCATCTAGTCTGCTTCTTTTAACATCTTACATCCATATATACTCAGGACTATGAACTTAAGCTTTATCCATTTTTATTTTTTCTCCTCCGTTTATGTTTTTAAACTCGTTCCGATTCTCTTTCTCTAATAGCTTTGCTGTTTCTAGGCAACACTTGGTGTTTACGTTTATGTCACTTTACGGTAGTACGCAAGATAGTCCGCGATTTGCGGCATCACTCACAGAGCAGGTCGGATAGACAGGGTACACTCGGTGATTGGGTAAGTTTAATACATGATATGATATTTATTTTGCATTTTCACATGGTATGGCATCTTGATAAAGACCGCTAGACGGTCGAAACATTGATTTGTATGCATTATATTTAATACATTATTGATTTACAAAATCCATTGAGTGCTCTCAATCTTTTCGGTTTATATTTTTGCACGGAGAGGCACCTGGTAATTGCTGGACGTGATTTATTTATAATTTTTTTGGGGGGATGAGTGCCAGAAACTGTTGAAATCTTTATATATATATATATATATACACACACACAATGTGGAACAGCTTGGCACTCTCCTTACTATAGAAAAAAGCAAAAGCAAAGTTGTCTAGGTGCTACCCGCATTTAAAATATATAAACATAAAGACAGGGGTGCACACACAGGTCTTGGATAAAGTGGCAGCTAGATTATTTGAATGAAAAAGTCTTCAATACATCTGTGAACAAAATCGACATTTTAACCCCTAAGGGTCTTTTTCAAGATCACAGCACACACACAACAGTGATAATATATACATGTATCAATTAACTTACCAATGGCATGTGAGAATATTTTTGTGAACCCATCACCTACAAGCCGCGATTTCCCCAGAAGTGCTGTATGCTGCGGTGACGTCACCACGTAGTGACGTATCGCGGAAGAGAAATGTGATTACTAGGCGACCAAATGATGCCGTGAAAATAAACAGCATCCTGAGAACGGGATCTATACAAAGACGGACACAAAAGCGTCCAGATGGAGGTGTGTGTGTGTGTGTGTGTGTGTGTGTGTGTGTGTGTATATATATATATATATATATATATATATATATATATATATATATACACACACACACACACACGAGAAAAAAAAAACAAAGTTTACACAGCCAATATATAGAGTAGTGTGTAGACTAAAAGGTATAGACCAACTGCCACTATAAACTAGTGTGAATAAGTGATATGTGATAGAGAGGAGGTGGTAATCACCAAATCGACCTCTCACACTAAAAAGTTAAGAAAATAAATATCAAAAACATAGCCACTAGAAATAATCTTTACAAAAAATATTTGAGATCAGACCCAAATCAAATTAATTGCTGTATATACTAAAATACACATTGTATAATATATAGAGTCGGCAGGTCAATCTCATCAGCAGTAATAATAGTGGCACAAAATGAATTGCACAATTTAGAAAAAACTAAAGAAATAAGCAAAATAGTACAAAAATCCATTAAATAGTTTGAATTAAATAATTCATTGACACTATTGTTAGCAAAGGGAATTTTTCAGAAGAGCCATAATTAATGTGGTATAAACTAATAAGAGACCAAGAGTCTTACTACAAAGAACAACTCAGTCTATATATGTATACATATCTATGCACAAGTATGTACACAAACCCACATACAACCAACATAAAGGCTTATGGTCAAGCTATGAATATACAATTTCCATCTATTAGATCCTGCAGAAAAACAATCAGGGTGATACATAATAAATGTAATAGAACAGACCAGACAAAGTCAACGTCCAAAAAATTCAAGAAATTCAATACATTGAATAATTAAAAAGATCGAAAGGGCTGGATAGACCTATGAATTTATAGAAAAATAGTATATACTATATTTTCATTTAGTCCTTTGGGAGCCACAGTGTCCAGCTTATAAATCCAAAACAGTGCAAAAAACAAGAGTGGAATACCGCGCCAACAAAATATAAAGAATAAAAAGTATGTATGTATGTATGTGTGTGTGTATATATATATATATATATATATATATATATATATATATACATACATACACAGGATAGTTCAACAATATACTGATTGGATGTCAACCTTTTAAAAAAAGAAATAAAATATGGACAATAATAGTGCAGTATGTCAAGTAAAATAACATAATCTCATGTGAGGTATTCGGAAAACTGGTAGAAGGACTAACTCACACTTTCCAGAGCTACTAGGAGCTCTACTGTATGGCGCCTGGACGGTATAATCCCCGTTTTAGGATTTGGGATCAATGATGAGGCGTAGCTTCTAAGTCTCCACAATAGTACATAAAACAGAGAACATAGATAAAATCCAATAGTGCAGTATATCTGGTGAATAGTGTATAGTAGAGAAGGTAAGTATCTTACTTACAATTTCCAGAGCAATGAACTTGCTCTGGTGATGAAAGCTTGAGGTGGTATAATCCCCACCTGAGGATTTGAGAAGGGTCCAAGGTGCACCAGGAACGGAAGATGTATGAAGAAGCAGAGTAAAGAATAAAAACTATAAATTTATTATAAAATAGTACAAAATCTAAAATATATGGGAATAGTATAATCAATAACAAGTCTCTAGCTCCACTTGACGCGTTTCGCCCTGAGCAGGGCTTCCTCAGAAGTTTACAGATCGGCAAATTCAGTGCTGGTTATATAGGGTATACTGATTCATTCATCCTGTTCCGGTGTGTGCACTCTTCCGGTTTCCGGCGTGTCGCGTGCGTCGACCGGAAATAACGCAACGCGACTCGCCGGGGCTGATGGATCTTGTAGTATCTTCATTAGTATTGACACCGGAAGTTGCGGACGTGACCCGGAAGTGACATAACGCAACTGCCGGTGATGGCTGGGAAATGTAGTCAAGAGTAATTACTCATAGCGTTCAATATTTCAATCAGCACAAAATGTTTGAATGCAAAAATTACATAAAATTTATAGCATATTTCACATAGTTTTATGGCATATACACATGTATGCATATAAAAGATACACACACAATTAATACAAAACTTCAGTATATATCATGCAGAATAAGATAGATAAAATAAAAGAAGAACAGATGGACATTTGTGGTATTAATTTATACAACCCAACAATATGTATAATCATAGACATAGGAGAGGAGGAATTTTAAACAATATTAAAATAAAATGGTATTAAAAGATATTTAATTTTTATAAGATAATCTAAAATAATGAATTATAATAACTCAATAATAGTAACTGAATAACAAAAAATAATTAATAAAAAATGATTAATAAAAAATATATAATTATATAAATATATATATAGTTTATAAAAAAATTAAAAAAGATCATATTCGGCATTTGAGCCGTATGGATACAGGGTATCTAAGAAATATACCCACTCCATTTCTTTTTACTCTTGAATACATTTCCCAGCAATCACCGGCGGTTGCGTTACATCACTTTCGGGTGACGTCCGCAACTTCCGGTGTCAATACTAATGAAGATGCTACAAGATCCATCAGCCCCGACGAGTTGCGTTGCGTCATTTCCGGTCGACGCACGCGACACGCCGGAAACCGGAAGAGTGCACACACCGGAACAGGATGAATGAATCAGTATACCCTATATAACCAGGACTGAATTTGCTGATCTGTAAACTTCTGAGGAAGCCCTGCTCAGGGCGAAACGTGTCCAGTGGAGCTAGAGACTTGTTATTGATTATACTATTCCCATATATTTTAGATTTTGTACTATTTTATAATAAATTTATAGTTTTTATTCTTTACTCTGCTCCTTCACACATCTTCCGTTCCTGGTGCACCTTGGACCCTTCTCAAATCCTCAGGTGGGGATTATACCACCTCAAGCTTTCATCACCAGAGCAAGTTCATTGCTCTGGAAATTGTAAGTAAGATACTTACCTTCTCTACTATACACTATTCACCAGATATACTGCACTATTGGATTTTATCTATGTTCTCTGTTTTATGTACTATTGTGGAGACTTAGAAGCTACGCCTCGTCATTGATCCCATATCCTAAGACGGGGATTATACCGTCCAGGCGTCATACAGTAGAGCTCCTAGTAGCTCTGGAAAGTGTGAGTTAGTCCTTCTACCAGTTTTCCGAATACCTCACATGAGATTATATTATTTTACTTGACATACTGCACTATTATTGTCCATATTTTATTTCTTTTTTTAAAAGGTTGACATCCAATCAGTATATTGTTGAACTATCCTGGATGTGTATATATATATACTTTTTATTCTTTATATTTTGTTGGCGCGGTATTCCACTCTTGTTTTTTGCACTTTTCTGATTATTAGCAGGTACTGGGAATCCCTGCTGGTTTGCTGCTGCCGCATTTGTAGTCACTATGGAGAGCACCTAGACCTGTTTCTTCTCTATAAATCCAAAACACCTCTCGCTGTAATAAAGCTTTAGACCGGTCACCCCCACGGGCAAGAGGGGGGACATGATCAATAGCTATAAATCTTAATGTAGGCAGATGATGTTGTGCTGCCAAAAAATGTTTGGCAAATGTTTTTTCTGTTCTATTATCTCGGAAAGCCATCATAATACGAGACCGATGCCCACGTATGCGACCTCGCAGTGTCAAATCAGTTTTTCCTATATAGGAAAGTCCACACGGACAGGTAATCATGTAGATAACATGGTCAGTGGTGCAAGTTATATAATGAGATATGGGTATACGTTTGCCACTTTGGCTAAATGTTGTACCACTGATCATGTGACTACATGTCACGCAGCCTGAACATTTATAACATCCTTTCTTTTTAATAGTGGTTGGTCTTTTATAGCATTGGATATGGTCACTTTTTACTAATAAATCTTGAAGATTTTTATTTCTGTTATAGCTTATATTTGGCTTTTCTTGAAATATATGAGGAAGATTGCTATCCGCCTGGATACACATATATATATATATATACACACACACACACCGTATATACTCGAGTATAAGTCGACCCGAAAATAAGTTGAGACCCCTAATTTTACCCCCCAAAACTGGCAAAACTTATTGACTTGAGTATAAGACTAGGGTGGGAAATGCAGCAGCTACTGGTAAACTTCTAAATAAAATTAGATTCCCCAAAAAATTATATTAATTGAATATTTATTTACAGTGTGTGTATATAATGAATGCAAGGTGTGTGTGTATATATATAATGCAGTGTGTGTATGAGTGCAGTGTGTGTATGTGATGCAGAGCCTTGGTGGGGGGGGCGGGCATTTTTATATATTTATATATATATATATATATATATATATATATATATATATATATATATATATATGTGTAAGGGGCAAAATAGCCGTATATGGAGTAAGGATCCAGCATAAGCTTAGGATAGTGTAAAGGGAGCAAGTCGGTTGTGGTGTGCCGATACCGACGATACGGTAGGCCTGTAAATAAAGAGGGCCCACCAAGGAGTAAGAAAGTAAAGTAAATGGAAAGAAAAGAGAAAGTGTTGAAATGAGGAGTGGGTGGGAGGGTCATTCTGATGCTGACCTCAAGCGATATGAGTCAGGTAAGGGGTGTCCCTTATATAGGGGAGTGAATTAATTTAAGCCCCTCCCACAAATACAGGCAAAACTGCCTTAATACTTGTGTAAGGGGCAAAATAGCCGTATATGGAGTAAGGATCCAGCATAAGCTTAGGATAGTGTAAAGGGAGCAAGTCGGTTGTGGTGTGCCGATACCGACGATACGGTAGGCCTGTAAATAAAGAGGGCAAAAATGAATAATCAAAGATTTAATACAGTCAACAAATATATACAAATTAACCAGACATTTCCTTAAATGCATTACAGTATTTAATTCCTGAAAGGATTTTGAAGGTAGGAATCTAGGACCGAAAGTGGGCACCATTTGTTGTGGGTAGGATAGTATGTTATCTCTACTGTTGGTGCATGTTGACTCATTTCAGAATGTGGTAGAGCCAATAGGTAATGATATATGTGTTTACGTACGTGGGATCGTTGAAGACAATGATCTGTCTGAGTGGTGGTGATGGTAGTGGATTCTCTGGCCTGAGAAAGGCATAAAAGGCAATGTGCATGGCTGGTAATGGCCGACTTGGTAGTATAATTGAAT